GCGAACCTGACTTGGTTCTCTAAAATCCCAGCAAGTAACTCAAGGCTGCTGGTGGTAGTTCGTTACTCGGTCGTCTCCAATTCTTTGCGACCGCATGGACTGCAGCCCACCACTTTTCTGGGTCAATGAGATTTCCCAGGCAACAGTACTGGAGTGTGTTGCCATTTCCTTCTCCAGGGGATCTTCCCAACCCAGGGACTGAACCCACGTCTCTGTAATTGCAGGCAGCTCTTTGGAGTGCTTAAACCTAAATATAGCTTGTTTTCTATATGGAGATAACTGTCTATTTCTGGGTTTTATAGTATATCTCAGATATTGAACTCATTGCTTTGAGATTTGTTGTGACTTTGAGAGGCTTTCTAGCCCAAGGAATTAAGGACTTAGTGGTATTTTGATCTGAGACTTCCATGAACATAGATGCATAGCTGTTCTTTTGATGCATCTCCCATAGTTGTTTTCCTTGGACATAAGAGCCCACCATGGGCCTCATGGCTGTCCTGAGGCCATACTGTCTAGGTGTATTGTTGGATTTGTCCTGAGTGGCGGTTAATCCACTCAAAAGCAAACAAATATTGTGAGGAGGGATAGACTAGGATGCAAAGGAAGGCATCCTTGAGGACAAGAACACTTAAGCATTAGCATCATCAGGGATTTGGGCTAATATTTCATAAGGATTGACCAAAGCAGGAGGTTAGGGACCACAGCATCATTTATTGCTCTGAGGTCTTGTATCACTCAATATTCCTCAGTTGACTTAATAGCTGGAAAAATGGGAGTGTTGCATGGAGATTGGCAGGTCACCAAGAGGCAGTGTTTTAAAAATTTGTGTACGAGGGATTGTAACTCCTTCTTTGCTTCCAACTTTATGGGATATTGTCTCTTGTTACATTAAGTGGCTTCTGGCCTAAGGCTATTTCTTTCAGGTTGGGCCTTGATGGCCATCCAGGGTACTCTTTAGTCCCAAATGTGGGTTTTCCCCTTGTAGAATATGGCTGGGAATAGGACCTTGGTCTTGGTTGGTCTGATGAAATCATAGTTAAAATACCAAGCTATTCAGGGTGTCCTAATTGTTTAACGTCCCAAGGGAGCCCTGAAGTGCCTTGGGATAGTCGTTATAGTTGCGCAGTCGCTCAGTTGTGTCCGACTCTTTGCGACCCTGTACACTGCAGCATGCCAGCCCTCCCTGTCTTTCATCATCTCCAGAGCTTTCTAAAACTCATGTCCATGGAGTCAGTGAGCCATCCAACCATCTTGTCCTCTGTCATCCCCTTCTCTTCCTGCCCTCAATCTTTCCCAGCATCAGGGTCTTTCCCAGTGAGTCAGTTCTCCGCATCAGGTGGCCAAAGTATTGGAGCTTCAGCATCAGTCCTTCCAATGAATATTCAGGACTGATCTTTAGGATGAACTGGTTGGATCTCTTTGTAGTCCAAGGGACTCTAAGGAATCTTCTCCAACACCACAGTTCAAAAGCATCAATTGCTCGAGGCCTTGATGCGACGCCGGACTCTTATCCCAGCCAAATGTAGCACACAGTAGACCTTTGAAAAGGCTTCCACCAAGTGCACCAAGCCAGGCTGTGTCCACCCACCCCAGTTCAGCAGTGGGACCCAAGCGTGCCCAGCCTCCAGGGATGGGACAGCAACCCTAGTCAGGGAGGGCAGAGATAATAAAGTAGGCACTGCTTTTCTTTCCTTTTCTTTACCATGTTGCCAAAGCTACCTTGAAGTATAGTGGATTTGCAATGTTGTGATTGCCCCGGATTTGGGTATTATGTTATCTATGGCTCTCTCTACTGTTTTTTTCCAACTTTTTGCCTTAGAAGGTTGAGCAGAGTGGTGAGCATCAGGTCCTTGTGAGTTATTAATCTCTTTTCTGTGAATACCAATCAGGAAGATAGGAGATAAGTTTTGTGTATTATCTCTTAGAAATAGAGATTTCCATGTAAATGTCCACGGAAGGAAGAAAGAGGAGAATCTTTGTGGATTATTTGTTACAGATACTGATTTCTTGTCGATTTCCATATGGACCTCCTAATTCATTCCATCCTTTCACTTTGATTTCTTTTTTTTTCAGAACCATTTATTTGACATTAGTGTCTCAGAGTCTCTTTCTGAATCATAAATTTGCTGACTTGTATGTCTGTTTTTTTGTTCACCTGAATAATTCCTCATATACCATGTTCTACCTCTGCCTGCCTGACTTCCCTTAGTGGTGGTGTTGTTCAGTCGCTTAGTTGTGTCCAACTCTTTGCAACCCCATTGCCTCACGCCAGGCTTCCCTGTCCGTCACCATCTCCCAGAGCTCTCAAACTCATGTCCATTGAGTCAGTGATGTCATCCAACCATCTCATCCTTCATTGTCCCCTTATTTTCCTGCCTTCAATCTTTCCCAACATCAGGGTCTTTTCTAAGGAGTCAGCTCTTCGCATCAGGTGGCCAAAGAATTGGAGCTTCAGCTTCATCATCAGTCCTTCTAATGAATATTCATTGTTGATTTCCTTTAGGATTGATTGGTTTGATCTCCTTGCAGTCCAAAGGACTCTCAAGAGTCTTCTCCAACAATACAGTTCAAAAGCATCAATTCTTCTGCACTCAGCTTTCTTTATGGCCCAACTGTCATATCCATACATGACCACTGGAAAAACCATAGCTTTGACCTTATTAGTCAAGTAATGTCTCTGCTTTTTAAAATGCTATCTAAGTTTGTCATAGCTTTTCTTCCAAGGAGCAAGTGTCTTTTAAATTCATGGCTGTAGTCACCATCTGCAGTGATTTTGGAGCCCAAGAAAATACAGTCTGTCACTATTTCCATTGTTTCCCTATCTGTTTTCCATGAAGTGATGGGACTGAATACCATGATCTTCTCTTTTTGAATGTTGAGTTTTAAGCCAGCTTTTTCATTCTCCTCTTTCACCTTCATCAAGAGGCTCTTTAGTTTCTCTTTGCTTTCTTCCACTAGGGTGGTGTCATCTCCATATCTGAGGTTATTGATATTTCTCCCATCAATCTTGATTCCCGCTTGCGCTTCATGCAGCCTGGCATTTCACATGATGTACCCTGCATAGAAGTTAAATAATCAGGGTGACAGTATACAGCCGTGACATGCTCCTTTCCCTATTAGGAACCAGTCTGCTGTTCCATGTCTGGTTCTAACTGTTGCTTCCTGACCTGGATGCAAGTTTCTCAGGAGGCAGGTAAGGTGGTCTGGTATTCGAATCTCTTTCAGAATTTTCCACAGTTTGTTGTGATCACACAGTCAAAGACTCTAGTGTAGTCAATGTTGAGGCAATATGAGTGCGTGTTTGAAAAGAATTTTCAGATACAGAGCATTTCAGAAGGGAGTGGGTTTATTAAGAACAAAGAGCAGAGATAATGTGGGCATTGCGAGCACAGTGGACTGACCTCCTGACAGACCAGGGAAAGTCGACCATTTTCATGAGTTAATAGCCAGTTTTTATAGCCTCAAGACACAATTCTTGCTGGAAGGGGGCATTAAGTTATTGGTTGGGGCACTCTAGGGTGTTTACTGGAGCGGACGTCTTTGCTTAATTGGGAGTCAGGAAGCTTGTTGGGTTTATCAGGGGGCTTTTGGCAAGGTTTGTGGCAATCCAGATTAACCTAATCATCACCTGATAGTGCAGCGTTGCCACAAACCTTCAATTTGTAAATAGTGCAGTGTCTGCAGAGTGCCACAAAGCAAAGTTCAGTAAAACGAGGTACTCCTGTGTCTTCTTTGAAGCAGTATCTATTCACATTCTTTGCTCATTTTGAAATCAGGTTATTTATCTTTTTATTGTTGACAGGCTAAGAGTCCAGCTCGTGTGACTGGTTACACACAGAGATCCAAAAGTTGCTGTGGTTTTCTTTTTTCCCCTTGTTATTCCCAGTAGTTTTAAAGTAAATAAATCCCTTTGCTTACTTGCTGTCAATTGCTCAGTCGTGTCTGACTCTTTGAGCCCCCCTAGACTGCAGCACGCCAGGCTTCCCTGTCCTTAACTATCTCCTGGAGTTTGTTCAAACTCATGTTCATTGAGTCGGTGATGCCATCCAACCACCTCATCTGCCGCTCTCTTCTCCTCCTGCCTTCAGTCTTTCCCAGCATCAGGGTCTTTTCCAATGAGTCAGCTCTTCACATCAGGAGGCCAAAGTATTGGAGCTTCAGCATCTGTCCTTCCAGTGCCTAGTTGAGGTCAGTACCAAGTATATTACTAACTTTAAGATTGTGCAGTTGCTCTGTTCATTATCTAAACAGCTGTTTATTGTGCGTTCATGGTGAAACCTGAGCGTGAATTGGGTGCTTGGCTCTTTCCAGGCACCCCTGCAGCTGTTCCTCCTCCCTCCCTCTCACAGGCCCAGGCCTCTCCTGTGACCCCTGTTTCCTCAGCAGGTAGGAGCATCCTCCTCGGCACCTCTTCTGTGTCTTCCCACCAAGGCTGTTTGGTCTCCTCTCCTGTATCTTGATTCGAGTGAACTTTTCCTCGTGGAGCTTCGCTCCACGCTCTGGCAGTGCAGAGGGGAGGAGAGGGGAAGGGATGTGCAGGAGGACCGGGATCCTCCCCAAAGGGCCAGTCGTCCACGGGTTTGAGCCACCCTCGCCAGGCACTTTGTGGGGTGGGAGAGTCGGGGGTGGCCAGGCACCCCGGGCCCTTGGGTTTGGAGTTCATGAGTTTGTGCAGTGTCTCCCAGGCCGCTCTGTGATGCTCCACAGGATGAGGGAGCAGTGTCAGACCTCCTGTTTATGCTTATCTTTTAGCTCATTTAAAAGTTTCTGTATCATCTCTAAGGACACTAAGGTTACAGGATAGCTGTCCATGCGTGTACTGGTGAAATGGTTCACACTTGTTCTTCCTGAGGTGTGGGATCAGAAGTAGCCCGTGTAATTGGTTTTGATTTTATTGGCCACGTAAACAGGTTGCTTTGTACACCAGTGTAGAGGGACAAACTTGCTTGCTTCCCAGACGACCAAACTTCTAAACATATATATTTTTTAATCTCTTGTAGACCCTCCTCTACACAGCACGGCTATATATGCTGATGAGGAAGAATTCTCCAAGCACTGCGGGTCACATCTCCCCTCAATTCCTCAAGAAAAAGAAGCAGAGAGAAGGTGTGGGTGGATCACAAGCAGTTATTTACTCATGGTTAATGGCGTTTCTGAGATGTTCTTTAAGAGAGATGCTTACAAGACCAAAGCTTTTTAAAGATCCTTCAAGCCATTTTATGTTTTTCCTCAAGAGAACTGGGACAGAAAAACTTAATTTTTCAGTAATTGATGTTACTTATAATAACTATAACTGACACCTGATTATCCTAGAAAACATGCCAGTGGAGGTTGTTTAGCTTTGGGATAAAACAAGGAGAGGAAAGGTTTTAAGAGTCTAGAAGTTCAGGTGATTTTACAAATTCTTTTACCCGTCACAAATGGGATGTTTTCTGGGGCAGGGTGGGAATAGGGGAGAGAAGCTGATAATCCCAGAGGAAACCCAAAGTCTGTTGTAAATTTCAGCTGTGTTGTCCCTTGGGTGCATAGGTTTGAGTTTTATGGATTTCTGTGGGGTGCCGGGTCAGGAAAATCTGCACAAATGACTCAACATAGACAACTTGAAGACCCACATGGTGAAGAACTCTTCAGTAGCTGTGGTATGAATTATAAACTATTCTCTAGTGCAAACCCTGACTTAAGGACCTCTGTTAGGTAATAAGTCAGTTCTAGTTACTGACTGTATTTTGAGAGTTAACAAAACTGCATTTTTATTTTTATTTATTTTTTTTTTCAAAACTGCATTTTTAAAACAAATACCCTACTTGGGCAGGAGCCTAGATGGGACGTCTGTCCGAGTTTCTCCATCTGGGGATGCATTGTGGTCCTTGGTTAGTCAGGAGACTGCAGGTTTTCTACCAGATGTTACTAGAAATCAGTAACGAAAGCCAGACATTTGGAAAACTACACGTTTTGTTTTAAATAGTGGTGAATGTAATTTTTTCAGAAGAATTTTTGAATGGGTGAGACATTCACATGGTTTAAAAATACAGAAAGGTTAATAAGAGCTGTCATCTCCTCTCTGTCATCACAGCTCCTGCCCCCACTTCTTCCCTTTCCTACCACTGGTTTTATTCTCTTTTTTGGGGGGGGGGGCTGTCCGGGTCTTGGTTGCTGCATGGGCTTTCCTGGTTGCGGTGAGCCGGGGCTGCTCTCTAGTTGCAGTGGGCAGGCTGCTCATCGCGGTGGCTCCTCTTGTGGAGGAGCACGCGCTCCAGGGCGCTGGGGCTCGGTCACTGCGGCTCCCGGCTCTGGAGCTCGGCCCGATGGTTGTGGTTCACAGGCCTAGTTGTTCTGTGATATGTGGCATCTTCCCAGAACAGGGATCGAACCTGTATCCCCTGCATTTGCGGGCAGATTCTTATCCACTGCACCACCAGAAAAGGAACCCCCCCAGTCCCAATATTTGTTTCTTATGTCTTTTCACAATTTCTTTGTGTTACCAAAAGAAGTATGTCGGTCCCACTGCTTACTGTCAAAAGCCAATAAACAGGCCAGGTTGGTGGAAAGGAAAGTTTGCTTTATTTCAGATGCCAGCAACTGTGGGGGAAGAGGGGTGGATATCTGTCCAAAGGCTGACTCCCCCCATGCCTTCGTAAGCAGGAGGTGAGAACTTTCATAGACAGGGGGCAGGGGGTCGGACTACGTGCAGAAATAGCACAGTCATCTCGAACAGTCATCTTCAGAATGGCCATCAGTGGTCTGACCAACGTCATCTTGGTTGTTTTTGGTCCAGTTAACTTCAGTTTCAGGGTTTGTTTGTTGGCATTTCTTTGAGGCCAGTTGTGGCAGCTCGTGTCCTGGATACAGTCTGCTGGTGAACGTCTCCACCTGGGGTTTTAGTGTCTATGAGACAGCTGCAGGATATGGCTCAGAATATTACCTTTCACCTCCTGGGAAAGAACTAAAGGTCCTTGGCTGTGCTTAATGCTCACATTATTATTAGTCTCCTTTGACTGTTTCCCTTTGCTTCCACATTTCCCACTTCTCTGATTAGACTTATTCTTTGACCAAAGTTTTCCACAGATGAAAGGCAGGCAGAGGACATGGCCGGGGGCAAGGACCACAGGGTCCTGCTCCGCTTCAGTGCCCCCTTTTCTCTGATATTATCAGTCGTGAGGAGGGACAGGTGCAGAACCGGAAAGGCAATAAACTTCCGTAGTACCTGGACAAACATTTGAAAATTACTAGACATATTACAATGAGGATGATAATCAAAATACACGTTTGCACTGTTCGTCTTAATGATTAAAGCCAATGTACAATGTCTGTTTAATAGGCTACAAACAGGCTGTTTTATTTAGCCTGAAGTTCAAACTTAATCCTATATAGGTCAGAATGACTTCCCTAAATCTCAGTAGGTGAGCACTTCTTCCATCACTTTCCCCTTTTAAGTTGCAACTCTTTCCATAGAGAGTGTTGATAATCAGTATATTTTTCCAACGTTGCCAGAGTGGTTCATTTGCCTGCTCTGGGTTCATCCATGTCCCTCAGTGCTAGGGCTCCTTTTTATTTATATACTTGACTAGTTGTCCATGTTGGGGGATAACTACTCAGATCCCATGAACAGGCTCTGGGTATGTTCATAGGGAAATGTGTTATAGTCCACACATTTTATCATCTGTACCCAATTTTCACACAAACATCGTACATGTGCTTTAAGCCATAAAATTAAAGCAGTGCTATACATCATGAGTAGTTATATTCTGTGACAACTTTACTGGACAGTGTTTTCCATCCTGAATATTAGGGTCAAAAGTATGATTAGAAACAAAACAATTGCTTTCCATTAGAAGTCTCTGTTATCAGAATTAGATCAATATTCCAGGGGAATTTTGTTTTTCCAACAAAGAGGAAAAAAAAACAAATTTTGTCTTGCATCAGTTTACTGTTAATAACAGAATTTATATACCTAATTAAATTTAGTCTAATCTTAATCCTGACAACATAGAAAATTTTGTTCTCAAAGTTCCTTTTTTATAAACCTTTTATGATTTTTTGGATTCAAACAAATTTGTCCTGTATTTCCTTTTCCAGAAACAGACAACTAAAGGATAGTATTATTTAACAAAAATATTTCCATTTGTTTATACCTTTTCTTCACCAACAACTCATATCCTATTTGTTTTACACATAGAAATGTTATCATTTTTACATATCACAGTTTATAACCCTTGAAATCTTAAGAAAACCAAGTGATTGAAATGGTTCACCAGCATTTTCTGATTGGCAAACTTAAGAACATATTCCACAACCTCTAAAAACATACATTTTTTCACAGCATAGCTTATCTTCAGTGGTACCACATGCATGTTTAATAAACCAAAACATCTTTAGTTTCCCTTTTAGCCTTAAAAGAAGATAAAAGTAGGTAAATTTAGATTTGTTTGATTTGTAAGTGCTCATATTTTTTTAAGGCAAATTAAATAGCGCTCCTTTACAAATTAACCTCAGCTATATCATCCAAAGACAAAAACACATATTGAGACATACAAATGTCCAGACCAACAGAGATCTCATTGTTTTATCTTTTCATATTTCGTGAATTAGGCATTGCAATTAAACTTAGCAGTTTATGGATAATAGTTAGAATAGCCAAATTTACATACTCAATCTTAAAAGGCGTTCCTCCTTTTTTTTCCTCTTACTTGAAGTTTTATAATTAACCCAGTGCTGGAGTTCCAGGCAACGTGGACTGTGGTTGTATTTCAAGGACACGATAAGCCATAACTTGATTTTCTCCTAGGCACATTTTTGTTTTCTCAGGGTCTGAAAAAAAGTGTTTTATCAAGCTAGCTTTCCCTAACTGCATATGCAAAAAGAACTTAGTTTTTTGAATGTTGAGTTTTAAGCCAGCTTTTTCACTCTCCTCTTTCACCTTCATCACGAGGCTCTTTAGTTCCTCTTCGCTTTCTGCCATTGCTGCTAAGTCACTTCAGTCGTGTCCAACTCTGTGCAACCCCATAGACGGCAGCCCTCCAGGCTCCCCCATACCTGGGATTCTCCAGACAAGAACACTGGAGTGGGTTGCCATTTCCTTCTCCATTAGGGTGGTGTCATCTCCATATCTAAGGTTATTGTTGTTTCTCCCGGCAGTCTTGATTCCAGCTTGAGCTTCATCTAGCCTGGCATTTTGCATGATGTACTCTGCATAGAAGTTAAATAAGCAAGGTGACAATATACAGCCTTGACGTACTCCTTTCCCAATTTGGAACCAGTCCGTTGTTCCATGTCTGGTTCTAACTTGCTTCTTGACCTAAATACAAGTTTCTCAGGAGGCAGATAAGGTGGTCTGGTATCCCCATCTCTTTCAGAATTTTCCACAGTTTGTTGTGATCCACACAGTCAAAGGCTTTAATGTAGTCAATGGAGGAGAAATAGATGTTTTTCTGGAATTCCCTTGCTTTTTCTATAATTCAACAGATGTTGGCAATTTGATCTCTGGTTCCTCTGCCTTTTCTAAATCCATCTTGTACATATGGAATTTCTTGGTTCACGTTCTGTTGAAGCCTAGCTTGAAGAATTTTGAGCATTACCTTGCTAGCATGTAAAATGAGCACAATTTTGCAGTAGTTTGAACATTACCCTTCTTTGGGATTGGAGTGAAAAACTGACCTTTTCAAGTCCTGTGGCCACTGCTGAGTTTTCCAAATTTGCTGGCATATTGAGTGCAGCACTTTCATAGCATCATCTTTTAGGATTTGAAGTAGCTCAGCTGAATTCCATCACCTCGTAGTGATGCTTCCTAAGGCCCACTTGAGTTAACAGTCCAGGATGTCTGGCTGTAGGTGAGTGATCACACCTTTGTGGTTATCTGGGTCATTAAGATCTTTTTTTGTATAGTTCTTCTGTGTATTCTTGCCACCTCTTCTTAATATCTCTGCTTCTGTTAAGTCCATACTGTTTCTGTTCTTTATTGTGCCCATCTTTGCATGAAATGTTCCCTTGGTATCTCAGATTTTCTTGAAGAGATCTCAAGTCTTTGCCATTCTGTTGTTTTTCTCTCTTGGCTTTGCATTGTTCACTTAAAAAGGCATTCTCATCTCTCCTTGCTATTCTTTGGAACTCTGCATTCGTCTTTCCCTTTCTCCTCTGTCTTTCACTTCTCTTCTCAGCTATTTGTAAGGCCTCCTCAGACAACCATTTTGCCTTTTTACATTTGTTTTTCTTGGGGACGTTTTGATCACCACCTCCTGTACGATGTTACGAACGTCCGTCCATTGTTCTTCAGTCATTCTGTCTACCAGGTCTAATCCCTTGAATATATTTGTCACCGCCACTGTATAATCATAAGGGTTTTGATTTAGGTCATGCCTGAGAGGCCAAGTGCTTTTCCCTACTTTCTTCAAGTCTGAATTTTGCAATAAGGAGTTCATGATCTGAGCCACAGTCAGCCCCCAGTCTTGTTTTTGCTGACTGTATAGAGCTTCTCCATCTTTGGCTGCAAAGAATATAATCAGTCTGTTTTTGGTGTTGACCATCTGGTGATGTCCATGTGTGGTATTGTCTGTTGTTGTTGAAAGACTGTGTTGCATTTTGAAGTTGGTGTTAAATGTCAGATGAAAAAAGTTAAAGGACTCTCATTAGAAATTTAGGGTTTTCATTCAAAGGATGAAAGAAGGTATTCCCTTTTCTGTCCCCTAAACATGGGCCTGTATCTGCGGATTAGGACCAGGGGTGCCCGTGTACCTGGGAGTGATGGCAGGGAGGAAGGGGCACTTCTGACGGGACCACAGGGGTAGTTACGGGCTCTTACCTGCCTGCTCGAGCTCAAGTGATGCAGCCTGGGTGTGCGAAGGTGTGGGGGGTGACCGTAAGTCTGGGGAGGTGGCAGACCCACCCTTGACAAGTGGGAAATCTTATTAAACTCAGCTTGTTTTTGTGTCAGAGGAGCAGCTTTTAGAAGACACGTGTGAATAAAAATGAAACGTGTGCAAGATACTGATGGTTTGTTCTTTGGTACAGTTCAGACACTTCTGAAATTGAAGCAAGTGAAAACGAGTCTATAAAGATTAGTGCCAAAAAGGTATGCCTGTTCTCCCATCTTAATTTGTAAGATATTTCATATCCTATTTAGATTGGATGCAAGTAGAAGAAATGTTCTGTAAAGTATTTCATATACTGTTTGGATGCAAATAGAGACAATGTTCTGTAGCATTATTTTTCATAAAGAGTATATTATGTTTCAGAAGGTACTTTTTTAAAATAATAATGATAGAGTTTTGTATCTGAAGTGTTTTTCATCACAGAGACCTCAAATCTCTGTGTACCATGTCAGTTTTCATAGGGTCCATGTAATGTGTGTAGATGGTAGCTAAACACTCTGTTGGGAGTGTTTGCTGGGAACCCTTTAATCCAGGTTTCCAGTCCTGTCCACTAGTGAGGTTGCCATATTTCTATTATATTCAGTTTTGAAGTTTAGAGTTAAGAAATGTGGACCTTCTGGTTATCTACTAACAGGAATGATAAGCATTTGTATTTTCTAAACAATAAGGCTGTTTTCTTGATCTAGCCAAGAAGAAAACTCAAGCCCATCAGTGACGAATCTGAAAGCCCTGAAGAAAGTGATGTAAGGAGAAAAGTTAAACCCACAGAGAACATAAATACACGGCATGGAGCTGTTTCAGCTACAGCACTTCCAGAACTTTCAGAGAAACCAGCTGAAGCGGTCACTCTTCAGAATACAGGACCCCAGAGTGCTGAGTCCTCTGCTGAGAAAGCAACGCTAGCCACAGAACGTCAGCTGGTAAGAGTGTCTGTCGTCCCCCTGGAGAGGAGGAGAAGCTGAAAATGTCCAGTGGGGAGGGAAAGCATTTTTTCCTTCGCTTCTTTTGAAAGATAAGTTTTTTTAAATTTTTCTTATTATAGAAATATATTTACTTTAGAAAATTTAGAAGGTGTAGGAAGGAAGATAAAATCCTTTAATTCCATCACCCCAGAATAAAATAACCGCCGCATTTTTTGGTCTACACTCTTCAGTCTTTCATTGAGCTTTTCTTATCCTACGTGAAGATTTCAGGCTTCTGGACTCCAGATCTACCGAAATTTCTTTGTTAAGCCGAGTTGTGGTAATTTATTATAGTGGTCATAAGAAATAAAACATCACCCAATAACTTTAACTTTTTAGTGTCATGCCTTGGGTTCTAGAACTTCCTTTATTTTTTTTCCTTCATAGTTTGTTTCTTGATTGAGATTCCTTATCTGCTTAATCATTAAGTCCATCATTTCCTTCTTGGGACATATTAATATTTATGAGAGTGGCTTTGAGGTCTCTGCTTTCTAAGTCTGGTACAGTCAGCCCTCTGTATCTGCAAGCTCCACATTCATAGATGCAACCAACTACTTGATAGGAAATATTCGGGGACAAAAATTACATAAAGTTCCCCAAAAGCAAAAGTTGAATTTGCCACGCAGCAGCACTATTTTCACAGTACTTGTATGTATTTCATAGTAGTCATAGTATTTACATAGTATCTGTTAGGTATTATAGGTAATCTAGAGATGATTTAAATACAATGGGAAGAAGTAGATTATGTGCAGGTGCTACCATGTTATACAAGGCTTGAACATCAGCGGATCTGGGGGTCCCTGGGCGATCCTGGACCCACCTTCCTTGGATATTAAGGCGTGACTGTACCTGGACTATGGTGGGTCAGCTTCTTTTGAGTACTTCTTTTCTATCTTGACTACAGGTCACATTTTTTGTGTAATATTTTTAATCTAGTAGTTTTAAATTGTGTGTTACACATTGTTGTTGATAGGTGGTTGAGATTTTGAGTTGTGTTTTCTTCTGAACGTTGACTTTCATTCTAATAGGTAGCTTGATTATTGGCTGATCAGCTTGAACTTCTGTGGGTGTGATTTATCCTTTGTTGGGGTCAGTGTGTGGAAAGCCTCAGTGGGTCTCCCAAGCCTCTCTAAGTCAGTGGGACTCAACCTCTGTATTAATAGTCTTCAGTTGCTGCAAAACAGAATACCACAGACTTTGTGACTTCAAACAACGCATGTTTATGCCTCACACAGTTTCTGTAGGTCAGAAGTCCAGGCTCACCCTAGCTGGTGAGGGTCAGGGTCTCACAGGCTGGAGTCGAGGTGCCAGCCAGGACGGAACTCTCACCTGAGACTTGGGGTCCTCATCTGGGATCACGCAAGCTGTTGGTAGAATTCTGATCCTTGCCATTGCAGGCCTGAGGTTCTTGTTTCCTCTTGGTTGAAGCCGGGAGTCACACTCGGCAACCAGAGGCTGCCCTAGGTCCTTGTCACAGGGCCCTCTCACGACGTGGCAGCTGGCGATGTCTTCAGAGCCAGCCAGAGCCTGTCCGTCTGCAGTGGTGGCCTCCTACGTGAAGTGACTCATCAAGGGGGTGACCATCCCACCAGAGTCACAGGGGCCACTCACTCTCAGGAGTGGGGGATTGTAGGGTGCTTACCACACCCCCAGTCTCTGTTGAATCTGGTCAGAGACTGGCTTTAGGCTTAGTTAGGGTGGGTCTAGGGCAACCCTAACTCTCGAGCAGTGTTTCTTAAGCCTTTCTCATTGTTATCCTCCCTAAGAAGCCTTTTTAGACATTTTTCCTCCTAACCATTCCCCCAACTGAATTTTAACATCATAAGTACACCGTGTATCTATTCATATACCAGGCACTTTGGAGGGTCATAAACTGTTGTACTGTAATCTCTAAGGCTGTCTGGCCCCCGCGCTGGGGACAGGTGGAGATGGCACGATCTCAGCACATTCTTACCCCCGAGCTGGGCTCTTCCCCCTGCTAGCTGGACCAGTAGCTCTTAACTAGTCAGTGAGGCCTGTACGTTTTCTCCATCTGATTTCCCCCGGTATTCCTTGTCCTTCATCACCTGTTACGTCCTTGATCCCATGATAGCACATGCAGCGCCCCTTTGTAGCCTCTGCGAGCCTGGAGTAGGCGGCAGGGCCCCTCCTGTCCTCTTCCAACAGCCTGCTGTGGGGGCTCCGGCCGCTGTGCCCTGCTTTCTGCCTCCGCAGCGGGGCCGGGCGCTGCGCTCTGGGCACGCAGCTGCTCTGCTGCCCTCTGAAGGAAGGTGTCCCGGGCCCGGGGGACCGCGGCAGCTGTAGGTTTGTGTTCTGAGCGTCTCAGACCTGTCCTACCTGTTTTCCGATGCCACCTCCCTCCCCGCTTTATGGTTGTGCATGGCAATAGAGCTAGTTCAGAAGCTGTCACTTCCTCATAGCTTGGAGCAGAAATTGAGCTGATTCCACATATTATCATCCTAAATAATAAAAGCTTAATTGCCTCCAAGGCACCCACTGTCATAAGCCAGCTGAAAGTTTTAACTACTTTTTATTTTGAGGTAGTTTAATTTGCTCAGTATTTCCTTATATTAAGTTAGATAATTTATATGATTAATATATTAACTTGTAACAAAATGAGGACGTGAAAGTCACGCAGTGGTGTCTGACTCTTTGAGACCCCCATGGACTGTAGCCCACCAGACTCCTCTGTCCAAGGGATTTTCCAGGCAAGAGTGGATTGCTGTTTCCCTCTCCAGGCTATCCTCCTGACACAGGGATCCCGACACAGGGATCGAATTGTAGCAAAAGTATTGACAGTGTCTGATAATGCTGTCTTAATTCTTGTTTTAAGAGAACCTTCTCTTACATGAAAATCTTTGCTGTGATTTTTTTTTTTCTAGAAAACTCAGAAGAATAAGATGTTTCCTGGCAAAAGGAAGAAACCAAGAAGTGACGCCACAGACTCAGGTGTAGATAGTGTTTTATATGTAGTCAGTCATTCAAGAAGTTCTTTTTTAAAAATGTATTTTTTAATTTGATAAAGTGTACATTTAAGTATATAAAATTTCCACTTTAAAAAGTTAAAAAATATGACTTTGGAGTAACTGAGTTTTCCAGCAATCTATCATGAAAATTTTCAATATACAACAAAGGATAAAGAATTTAACAATATATATTCATATACCTACTACCTAGATTTTACCATCAGAATTTATTTCTACTTGCTGTAGCACCTATTCATTAATCTATTTTAATTTTTCATCACGTTATACATTCTTTTCAGACATCATACTGTGTACTCTTAGAAGCCTTCTTTCATTCAATGTAGCTTTGAGAGTCATGCATATTATTCTGCATCATTTTTATTGGCACAAAGTTTATTGAAAAATGGGAGGAAAATAAAGCATTTTCTCTCCAGTTTTTTAAAAGATAAGTTTTATAGTTTTCTTATTATAAAAATGTTTATTTTAGAAAAAAAAATTTCAAAGGTGTAAGAAAGGATGATAACATCACCTACAATTCCATCACCCCAAAGTAACTGCCGTGTTTTTTGGTCTATACTCTTCAATCCTTTTACTGAGCTTTTCTCACCCTAAGTGGGCTCATATCCTTGTCATTCAGTATTCTACATACCATTTTAATGAGTATGTAATACTTCATTCACAAATGTGCATAGTTTAGTTAATCTCTTATATCAGCTGTCTGAATCAATATACGCAATAACCTTCATGTGTCCTAGTTGTGATCCATCAGGTAGATTAAAACTAACAGAACACGGTTAACAAAGATATCCATCTCCAGTAGCGTTCAGTAACAGCCGGCTGTTAAATAAAGGCACGGCAAGGCAACTAAGGGACTGCTCTGCTTTTGCTGCTTCAGAAGTGGGCCAGCCAAGGAGCAGCGCTAGAGGGCGCCCTACAGACAGGGTTTGAGCCTGTCTTCCCCCATGTGTTTCTGCAAAACCTGGTGCTGTGTTTAGCAATTTGGTGGAGTACTGTAGGCTTTCAGGTCCCTGGACCTAGAGCTAAATGGCTGATAATCAGTATATTAAATTAACCTGTCCTGATGTTCTAGATACTTCCGACTGTGCACCTATCTGGTGTTTAAAAGAAAAGAAAGCCAGTGACATCATGGAATTAGATGTGTTTTTGTCTGCATTCGAGAACATTCTCCTAGAGTATGAGTGAGTCTTTTGATGTTGTCATTTATGTACCTAATAAATTTCCCTTGAAATAGCACTTCTGCTCACCCCACAGCTTGATATGTAGAATTTTCATTATCATTTTTACATACTTTTAAATTTCTATTATACTTTTTTCTTTAAGTCTCTGATTTAGTATTATGTTTTTATATGTCCATGTATGTGACTTTTAAATTTCTATTTATTAATCTTCTGTCTTAAATAGTTATAGTCCAATTTCATGGACTCATAATACCTATTTTTGAAATACTGAGGCTTCCTTTATGGCCTAGCATATAATCTCTTGGGAAACTCTAATTATTGGATCTGTGTAGAATCAGTATTACTCAGTTTTTCCTGGTATTTCTATCAATTTATGTTATCTCTGTAGAGGTTATTTTACTAGGATATCATGTTTAAAATACTCTTTTAGATTGAACATTTTATCTTTATGAAGTGACTCTTTTCATTCCTAAAAATGCTTTTTTTGGTTTTAAAATCCTTTGTCTCATGTCACTATTTCTTTAACTAGTATTTGCCAAATTTTACGTTCTTTGAACTTTTACTTCCTACCTTTGTCTCACGTTAAGCTGTTATTTATTATAAACTCCTTTTTAAATCCAGTGTCCATCTTTGAATTTCATTTTAGTCAATTACACTTAATTATCCCTATCTTTAGAAGAATGTATTGATCCTGTTTAAATGTATAACTCCCCACCAGTAAGATTAGAACTCTTGCAAGCTGTGATGTCTTGGTCTTCTCTCCCTGCCCCCACCCCAAAGCACATCATGTTTATAATACCTGGAAACTGTTTAATTCTGGGAAGAGGGCGATCAGAGTTGGTATGAAATGGCTTCTGTTACCTGTTTCAACTCAGGATCTAGACTTGAACTTTCCAGAGCCAGTAGAGAACTGCAACTTCTTAGTGGTTCCTGGAGTCGTCCTTCACAGGGCTTTTGGGGCTGTGTGTTTGTTGGTTTCCCTGTGGAGGAATGAGGTCTGGGGTCTCTTATTCCAACGTCTTCTGATGTCACTAGAAATACTTTTAACATCCTTTTTTTTTTTCTTTTTTTTTTTTTTTTTTTTTTGATTTAAAGTTTTACAAAAACTGTATTCAAAAGTGCAGGCCATCTCTCCTGCTTAGCGTCTTGAAGAATTAGACCATGGGCCTGGTCCCCTTCTCCTGGGCGACTTTTCCTCATGTATTTCCCCCAAGAAAAAAATAGCTATGTGACAAGCTGTCACTCACACAAGAGGTTTATTTTCAATTCAGACTTTAAATTCTAGTGTCGTTCTGTGACGAGGCAGAGGAGGGGGGTAGCTTCCCCCTGGCAGGGTGTGGGTCACCATGAGTCTGCGTCCAGCTGTGAGGGAGGGAGACTGGGCTCTTCTGTCCCTGACGACAGGGACCCAAACCAGTTTCTTTGTTTGGGTCAGCTTTATAGTTTTTGCAGAACTATGCTGGCTTCTGGCTACTTACTTATCAGTTAGTCCAAACATGTGACCCAGCCCCTTCTCCAGTTGCAGCAGGGAGGGAGGAAGGGCTGAAGTCTGCTGGTCCCTGGGTCAGGCGGCAGGGAAGACTGGGATTGCCTGGGAGCATCACTTTCCATATGGTTTAGTGTCACCTGTGGGTGTGACCAGTGTCGGGAAGTGCTGGCCACATGTGTGAGGACTTAGAGAGAGTTCTAGTTGTTTTTCTTTTCTTGAGAGGCTTCCAGTATTTTTTTAAATCTGAGAAAGGGCTGCAAGCTGACCATGCCATCTTATTCAGATTGGCACATACCAAACTGTGTGTGTCCATGGGAATGCTAAACAAATGAAACACACCTTTCCAGATCCTTCAGAGAATACCTAAGTTTGACTTTTTTTTAAATTATGCTACAGACAGAAAATAGACTCTCGAGTTTGTAAGGCAGCCATCAACAAATTTCATTCTGATTTGAAAGAAGAACTCATCAAAATGGTAAGTTCAGTGACATAAATTGGTTGGTCTAATTTTATTTTTTAACTAATCCTTAACAGCTCATTGTTGTCTTGGTAAAGCTTGCATTTGCTGCCAGTGTGGTAAAGAGCTCCTTAGAAACTGGATATGATATGTTGTAAACTGATAAACACTTGACTTTGGAAAATACATGCAAATATTTATTTTTTGTTTTGTGTAGCTTCAAGACATCCAGATGTTGAAGACTCTGAAAAGGAAGAATGCTAAGGTAAATCACTCACGTGATTAAAAACACTGTCCTGTAGAACGTGCATATATGTAGCAAGTAAAGACCTGACTCTGGGTTTTGTGACCTACAGAGTTTGTGTAAGGCCTTTTATCTTTTTAGTCAGGCTTTTGTTTGGTCGATCTGGTGACCGTTCAGGTGAGTACTGATCAAGTCAATAATGTTGTTGAGACGTAGGCTAAGGAATGGGGCTCCCAGTTGCCCTGAAAATGGCTCTCAAGCCCAAAATGACCATTTACATGGTTGAGTATTATGTATTATATGTTTATCACTACTGTGTATGTCAGAAGTCTTTCAGACTGAAGAACTGTCTTGTGTCTCAGGAGAAAGGGCAGACTAGGAAGAATACTGGGTTAAGGGTCAGGGGATCTCCTTTCTTGTCACGGTGCTGCTGCCTCAATGTCCTTTTGCCAGGAGGTCTGCAAGGAAACACAAGGCCCTTCCAGCCCACCTGTTTACAGTTGGGCCAAAAAGCATCCCTTGTTCTAGCTCTGAAGTTGCATGAATCCACGTGTGGAAGCCCCCCTCTACATTTGTAACAGAAATGGGTTTGAAATGGATGGTTTTCCTTCTGGTGAAAAACAAACTATTCTGGTGAAAAACAGCAGCCTTTGTTGTTTTTCAGTTTTAATCTCTTGTTGGTCATTCCTGCATCTCTCATAGGCAAGCAGGAGTAGTCTGAATGTCCAGCAGTGGAATATGAGGTGGTCGCAAAAAGTGATAGTTGAGACGATGCACTGAATTCTGTTGAAATATTCTCTGTAAAATACAAATTGTGTCATGGCACTCCTGTGCTTCAGTATTTTCCTGGTGTACCTAGAGAGCATCACAGTGCCTTACTTGATAGCTCACAGGGTAGTAAAATATGGCCCTCCTCTTCAGGGCTCTCCGCAAGTGGATCCCCCTGGACTCCTCCAGTTCCCTCTTCTTTCCCGTCTTAGCACACGTCACAAGCTGTGATTACACCTTGTTTGTATGTCATGTCTGTCTGCCCTGTGTGACCAACGTTGGTAAGAATGGGGTTTGCCGTGTTTCCCACTGTGCTCCAATACCTGGCACAGTGTACAAGGCAGTGCTGAAATATTTACAAAACGTAACAAATTTTTGTTATTAGATGATCTCCGATATCGAAAAGAAAAGGCAGCATTTGATTGAAGCCCAGGATGAATTGCTTCGGTAAGATAACATCAAAACCCTCTTTGAGAACTTAGAACAAGATTTAATCACAGCGTTTCATGTGAGGCTTTGTCGTAAAACTTGCTGCTGTGTTGCATTTGAACACCAGGTCTTCTCTGAGCTTGGAAGCTCAGTCAAGGGGGGTTATGCCACTGAGTTGAGAAGCTTTTAGCAAATCAGCCCTCATCTATCCACCACTAGATCTCTCAGCTCCCACCTGAGAGGTGTTCTGATTGGACACTTAATGCATAGACTTGAGAACTGGGTGCCCTGGGTTTTAGTCCAGGCTCTACCACTTTCTGGCTGTGCAACCTTGGGCAGGTACTTAACCTCTCAGTTCCCTCATTTGCAAATGAGCATAACAGTAACTATACCTCACAGGGTGTTGTGAGACCCAAGTGAATAAATACACAGAAAGTGCCACACGGTGACTGGCATAGCATACAGTAAGTGTCGTGTGAGGCGTTACCAGTTTGCATGAGTGTCGTTGAGACGTATTGCTTGGCATGACATGCGTGAGCCCAGGTGTCAGGCCAGAATTTCCGGGTCTGTCTCCATGTGTGTTCAGGAAGATGGGAGCGCAGGCCATCCGCTGGGTTTGCGGTGGTCTTCCTTACAGACAGGACGGCCGGGTGAGCCGGGGGGCTGGCAGCGAAGCAGCAGCAGAATAAGCAGTGTCAGATACGCTCTCTGCCCTTCAGGAGCCTTAAAATAGCTTGGAAAGTGGTCTTAGAAGATAACCTGTAAGTGAGTACTAAGTTTGAAAGATGAGACTTGCCCCGGAAGTCTAGAAGAGGGAGAAATGGGTTGTCTAGGCCTTTGGTTTCCAGATCCAGCCTCTGGACAGGTGCTGCTGGCCGGCACCGCAACCTTCATGGGCCCAGGCCAAAGTCAGAAAAGTAAAGATAATGATGGGAAGCTTTTTCAGGTGTCAGCTGTGTGTCGCTGGGCGCCGTCCTAAGTGCTTTATTATACCAACTCATTACCATCACCATAACCCTGGGAGGCAGGTTGTTTGACCACAAGACAACTATGTAAGACTCGGATCTGTCTCACAGAGCTTTCGATCCTTTTTCTAGACAGAATTGTAGAAGTTGAGAAGTATAGTATTTTGAAAAGGCATAGCAAGAAACAAAATGTGTATCGTTTTACATGTGGAAAACTTAAGGCACAGGGCGGTAAGGAACAGGGGAGCCAGGACCCGGTGTCTGCCCACTGGCTCCCGACCCAGCCCTCCTGCCCATGACCCTGCTGGCTCAGGGGTTTCCCAGAACATGGCACTGGTTCAGTGCACAGAGCTGTTACAGGGACTTCTATAAAATGATATTAGACCAGGTTTTTAAAATACATCTTTGTGAGAATAAAAGATGGTAACCATTCCCCATTCTTTTATAAATTGGTCCACAAAATCCAAATTATCCTTTTTATTTTATATGTTTAGAGACTCATGAGCTACTGAGACAGAAAGCAGGTTGCCCAAGGTCGCACATCTCAGCCAGGCAGAGATGGTTTCTCCGCTGCTTTTATTAGACTTGGACACAGTTTCAGTGAGGCAGGGGGCAGAGGAAAGGCTTTCTGTCCATGCTCTGACTGCTAAACTGCAATGTCAGTCTACATCCGTCTGGGGCCCTAAAATCTTGATACCCAAGTACATGTTTTAATTCAGTAGTTCCTAAGACTCTTAAAATGACTTAATAAACTTTAAGATACATAAGGCGTGTTTTTATTTGGGCCTCACTGCTAAGTACTTTTCAGGCATCATATTTCAGAGTTTTTGCTACATTTAAATTGATTGCAGAATCACTCACATTGATCATTTCAAAGCGAATGACATTTTAAGCCACCTAGCCCACCTCGCCTGTTTACTTCACTCAGAATCCTTGCATGCTGCACCTCATATACCTTAGGCTGTAGTTCCACTTTGTCATTTCTTTTTGGGAAAAATATCTTTTTGTTTTAGGGTAGAACCAGAGCTGAAACAACTACAAATAAAGTATGAGGAACTTCAGGAGAGAAAAGCTTCCCTTAGGAAGGCAGCATATTTCCTGTCCAATCTCAAACAGCTTCATCAAGATTACTCAGATGTTCAAGAGGAAGAACCAAGTGTAAAGGAAACAGTAAGTTCAGTTTTTAATTTTCACTCTGCTTCAGAAGACACAGGGCAGTCTGTTAGAGAACCAGAGCTTCGAGGAGAGAACAATGGAGATGTCAGGTCTACTCAAAAAGCATCCCTATAAATTGGTGAAAATTTGTTCTCACTGCTTCTTAGCTAATTAATTAAGGCCAGAGGGGTAAAGGAAAATCCAGAAACACTGATTTTACTAAGGTATTTAAGCTTCAGAGAACTGAATTTCTTGAAGGGAAGTGTATCCTCCGGACAAAACTCAACTGTCGTCAACCTAAGACTAAGACCACTAAAACCTATACAAGTTTTAAAGACCAACCTCTTGTCTTTGTTCAGCCAGTATTTTTACTATCTTTTGTGTGTGAAAAACTAGCCATTATCCCATATCAATAGTAGGTGTGATTTTAGAAGTTGAAAATGTTTTAAGAGGGCATGCAGGAGGGAAAAGGGTGGTTGGTATAGATTCTTTTCTATATTACAAGATACTGAATGTAATTGACCCTGTCCTTGTTATGTTTTATATATAGTAGTGTGTCTGTGTTATGCTTTCAGAGTGTAGACACGAGGGTATATGCCTCACCTCTTTTCTTAAACTAAGAATCCAGGACCTAATGTTAGTGCTTCCTCCCCCCACAACCCCTCCTCTAAGAGCAGGTGCCGCCTGGTACAACAGCTTGAACACAGTAGGCCCTCAAATATTTGTTAAACTCAATTGCCTAAGGGTAGGTGATATAGACAAAATTATTTGGGTCATAGTTACTCTGATAGGTTTGTGCTTAATTTCATTTCTAAGAAAACCACCTTGAAAACATAAGTAACAAAATATTCTAAGTATGATATAGCTGTCAGGATTTTAGTCATTCGCCCTTAGATATAAACTGTACCTTGATATTTGGCTTTAGTTTCAAACTTATGAGTTTTGTTTCCTATTTTTATGCTGGGTTTGTATTTAATTTTGTCTTTAATCATTAAGGACATTTGGATTGGCAACTGAGAACCACATCTTCTCAAAAAGTAACTTTTCTAGATGAATTGTATGGGCCTGGTGTTCTCATTCCATCAGTTCTTACAGTAAACCTGCCACACAGTTGACTGTGTTTAAAACAGCATGAGATCAAGCTGACCCCACAGAGGTGTAGCTAACTTGCCCAGACCATGTCTTGACCTGTCCAGGGAGATTTTGGTTTAAATAATTCAGACGCCACTGTTCTTGAGCCAGCTGGTCTTTTGGATGAGTAGCTCAAGCTTTGCAGAGCAGTTCCCTTGCAACCTGTTTATCAGTTATTCTAAGGTGATGGATTAAAACAAATTTCGTAAAGATGAGTGATTCATGGAAAACACATATTATTATCATTGGCAGTTGGTCATAACATTGAACTACATAAAATGGATAGGATTTTAAAAGGTTTTTATAAGTTACATTGGCTTAGGTAAGTTTTTTTATTCATCTAAATATTTTTCTTCAACAGTATGATTCATCCAGCCTTCCAGCTTTGCTGTTCAAAGCAAGACCCCTTTTAGGAGCTGAAAATCATCTGCAGAATATCAACTGTCAATTAGAGAAGCTCCTTGACCAGAAATGAGACCAGTCTACTAAGATGTGCACATTTAATATTAGTCTCGTGATAGTTTTAGAAGGTAACAGACAGTATATATTTTGCACAAAGATGAGAAGAAAACCTGAACTTTATTACTATTAATTTGAATTAAATATTTTTTATTGTTATAACAACATTCTCAGATAAGTTTAAAAGCAGGAAACTGTCTTACTGTTCAGACTGTTTGTATGATCTTGTCACCAGAATTTAATATTGCTTTGTCATTAAAATTAAATGGCTAGGTATAATAGTTTTAGAGGCCATAATTAACTTCTCTAGTTAACACCAAGTATAAAGTTTTAAAATGTTTTAGAATGACACCTCATCAGCCCTTAAGCATACAGAAGCTTTACCCTAAAAATAAACATCCAAAATTAAGCTGATGTGAACATAGTTAATCATATAAGGCGAATTCTACTGAATTTAATAAGCACACCGGAGCTAATTTTCAGTAAAACTGGTTTATTTCAGTAAATAAGATTTGGAAGTAAAGTGATAAATAAAACAGTTGGTATAACAGGCTTATTTAATAAGCTACTATAATTTAATGGCAGTAAATCTGCCTTCATGCAGATTATAGCCTAGTTATATCAGTGTCCATAATTAGCTACTCCTGTAATACTTCTATTAGTAGTTCATCAGGAATTTCATCCATCCCATTGTAAACAAGAAGACTGTTCTCTGCAGCTTCTGCTAATTCAGCATCTTCTGTAGCCTCCAAAATGTAAGTATCATCAATGCTGTTATCCCAGTCAGCATCGGGACATGCACCTTTTGACGACACGCTAGCTGATGGTTCACAAGGACCCTTGGTTTCAGCGTTTGCTGCTGTATCTGTTGCAAACTCCTCTTCCTGTAGTTCCAGAGAGGAGGGAGCACAGAGCAGGAAGAAAATTAATCAGACAGAATGTGTGGTAATTTCACCAGATAGTTGATCTGTACTGAATTAAGGGATTCAGTTCAACAGATACTAAAATGAACACTGGACGGTACTATCTTCAATGCAGCCGTCATGGGCTCATCACTGCTGCCTCTGCGGCCCGTTCTTTCCAGAGTACACTGACGGGGCCACAGCAAAGGCAGACTGATATTCTTTGAAAGTGGATGGTCTGTAGTCTACCTGAAGGCAAACTGGTATCTGCTATCTTAACAGACTGATTTCTCGATAGTTTTACAATTAACATGGATTGAAAAGTTTGAGATAACTGTCAAAGTATGACTGATTTTTAGTATTAAACAGTATTGTATCAACATGAAATATCCTGAATAATTTCACTATCAATGTATAAGAATGCTCTTATTCTCCAGCTACATGCTTGAATATTAAAGAGATGAAGGGTTTTGATATCTGCACTTACTCTAAAGAGACTTGTTATGGACTGAAAGTTTGTCACCCCCTTCCCCAGATTCACTGGTTAGGATCCTGACGCCCAGTGTGGTGATAGCAAGAGGTGAGGTCTGCAGGAGGCAGGTGCTGAGACCAGAAGGGACTGGTGCTAGCTCTGTGACCCCCAGAAGCTGAGTCCACAGCACCATGATCTTGGACTGTCCAGCCTCCAGAACTCTGAGAAATTTGTTGTTTTTAAGTCACTCAGTCTGAGGAACTCGGTTACAGCAGCCTGAAATGCCTAAGACAAGATTCGTCAAAAATAATGTGTCCTGTGTACAGTAGCGGGAGAAAACAAGTGTGGCCCAGTGTTTAATAACAAGCAGCAAATCCAGAGAAAAGGTGCAGAGGAGGGCTTCTCCTTCTGCAGGGTAAAACTTCCTTTCATTGAAATAGAAAAACAGGCAAATGTAGTTTAGTTTAAAATGCTAAAGAAAATGTTAACTGTTAAAAAACGAAGTGATGGGTTTATTATACTGTTTTTTTAACTTTAAATAAAAAGCCAAAATAAGTTAAATCCAAGCAGTGGTAATACTGTACCCCAAAGGTACTTACAACTTGGTGTTTTCAAGATGTTACTGGATCAGCAGGAATAAAAAACTTTCAGAAACCCACTAAAACCACAGCCATTTATCAAAATAACACTTCAAATAAACAAGGATGAAATATTCTTAGAGACAAAGTTTGGTTCTTTCAAAACACTTTTTAACCTAGTAGTTTATACTAGAGACTCTGGCAATCAGGTATTTTATATCCAGCTCCTACAGATCAAGGAGATTTCTACCATTTCAGTATAAATTTTTCCAGGAAAGAGGTTTTTAAAATTGAACTGAATTATGTACCAGACTGTTACCTAGATTATAAACTCAAGCACTCATTCAGCTATAGCAGGTAACTTTCATTTTAACCATAACACCATAAACAAAAGGCTGATAGATGTGTGTGTGTGGGGCGGAGGGGGGAAGTCTAGAAAATAACATGACAAGAGTACTTAATACAAAGTTTTTGTAAAATATTAGTAAGATGTCATATAAAAGTAAACAGAGGGCAGTTATAGGCAATCCATAATAGAAACATAGTAAATCTGAATGTTAAACTGGAAATTAAAACACCTGAAATACCACTTTATGTCTACCAGCTTGCTAAAGATTCAGTCGCTCAGTCATGTCAGACTCTTTGCGACCCCATGGACTGCAGCACGCCAGGCCTCCCTGTCCATCACCAACTTCTGGAGTCCACCCAAACTCATGTCCACTGAGTCGATGATGCCATCCAACCATCTCATCCTCTGTCGTCCCCTTCTCCTCCTGCCTTCAATCTTTCCCAGCATCAGGGTCTTTTCAAGTGAGTCACTTCTTCGCATCAGGTGGCCAAAGTATTGGAGTTTCAGCTTCAACATCAGTCCTCCCAGTGAATGGTCTGGTTGGATCTCCTTGCAGTCCAAGGGACTCTCAAGAGGCTTCTCCAACACCACAGTTCAAAAGCATCAATTATTCGGCACTCAGCCTTCTTTATAGTCCAACTCTGTCATCCATACATGACTACTGGAAAAACCATAGCCTTGACTAGACGGACGTTTATTGGCAAACTAATGTCTGCTGTTTAATATGCTGTCTAGGTTGATCATAACTTTCCTTCCGAGGAGTAAGCGTCTTAATTTCATGGCTACAGTCACCATCTGCAGTGATTTTGGAGCCCCCAAAAATAAAGTCTGACACTGTTTCCCCATCTATTTGCCATGAACTCATGGGATGGGACTGGATGCTATGATCTTAGTTTTCTGAATGTTGAGCTCTAAGCCAACTTTTTCACTCTCCTCTTTCACTTTCATCAAGAGGCTCTTTAGTTCTTCACTTTCTGCCGTTAAGTGTGGTGTCATCTGCATATCCGAGGTTATTGATATTTCTCCCAGCAATCTTGATTCCAGCTTGTGCTTCATCCAGCCCAGTGTTTCTCATGATGTACTCTGCATATAAGTTAAATAAGCAGGGTGACAATATACAGCCTTGACGTACTCCTTTTCCTAGTTGGAACCAGTCCATTGTTCCATATCCAGTTCTAACTGTTGCTTCCTGACCTGCATACAGATTTCTCAGGAGGCAGGTCAGGTGGTCTGGTATTCCCATCTCTTTCAGAATTTTCCACAGTTTATTGTGATCCATACAGTCAAAGGCTTTGGCATAGTCAATAAAGTAGAAATAAATGTTCTTCAGGAACTCTCTTGCTTTTTCGATGATCCAGTGGATGTTGGCAATTTGATCTTTGGTTCCTCTGCCTTTTTCTAAACCCAGCTTGAACATATGGAAGTTCATGGTTCACATATTGTTGAAGCCTGGCTTAGAGAATTTTGAGTATTACTTTACTAGCATGTGAGGTGAGTGCAATTGTGTGGTAGTTTGAGCATTCTTTGGCATTGCCTTTGGGATTGAAATGAAAACTGACCTTTTCCAGTCCTGTGGCCACTGCTGAGTTTTCCAAATTTGTTGACATATTGAGTGCAGCACTTTTACAGCATCATCTTTTAGGATTTGAAATAGCTCAACTGGAATTCCATCACCTCCACTAGCTTTGTTCATAGTGATGCTTCCGAAGGCCCACTTGACTTCACATTCTAGGATGTCTGGCGCTCGGTGAGTGATCACATTGTGATTATCTGGGTCGTGAAGATATTTTTTGTACAGTTCTTCTGTGTATTCCTGCCACCTCTTCTTAATCTCTTCTGCTTCTGTTGGGTCCATACCATTTCTGTCCTTTATCGAACCCATCGTTGCATGAAATGTTCCCTTGGTATCTCTAATTTTCTTGAAGCGATCTCTAGTCTTTCCCATTCTGTTGTTTTCCTCTGTTTCTTTGGTTTGATCACTGAGGAAGGCTTTCTTATCTCTCCTTGCTATTCTTTGGAACTCTGCATTCAAATGCATATATCTTTCCTTTTCTCCTTTGCTTTTTTGCTTCTCTTCTTTTCACAGCTATTTGTAAGGCCTCCTCAGACAGCCATTTTGCTTTTTTGCATTTCTTTTTCTGGGGGATGGTCTTGATCCCTGTCTCCTGTACAATGTCATGAACCTCTGCCCATAGTTCATCAGGCACTCCTATCAGATCTAGTCCCTTAATTCTCACTTCCACTGTATAATCATTAGGGATTTGATTTAGGTCATACCTGAATGGTCGAGATGCTCAGTGGTAAAGATTAAAAGGTAAAAATAAGAAATGGCAAGTGGAGGGTAACAGGTATGTCCTTAAACTGGACATCTAATTTCCTATCACTTTTATGACAACAATTTGGTAATACAGAAAATATGACAGTTTAAGTAGAAAAAACCCTACAATATAGTAGCATATACACTATGACTTAAAAAAAACAAAACACAAGCACATACAAATTTTGGAAGCTACAGACCAAAACATTTACATCAATTACCTGAGTGGTAAAATTTATTAGGATGATTTTTTCCTTTTGCACTTTATGTATTTTGTAATGTTTTTCTACAATGAATGTGAATTACTTGGATAAGTGATATAAATGAGTTTTTTTAAAGAAAAATATTGGTTTGGCAATCTGGTAATCTACTGAAGTTTAAAGCGTATATACATATAC